CAATTCTCGAGGAAAAGGTGAGAATGGGGTATGTTTTTAAGCTATCGCGGCATTAACAAGTTAGTCCAGTACTTCGACCTGGTTTCCACCCTCAGGGATTGTTATTGGAATAGTTTCTTTCCTTAAGGCTTTCTGAATTCTCCAAGATATCAATGTCCGCCCATTCTTAAACATTTAACTTGATAATCTGCCGTCTCTGCTTTGAGAATGACTACGAAACAACAGCGTGCAGAAGCGTATACAGTTATTTGGAAAAAATGGCGGCAACTAGTACAAAACATGAGAGATTGACTTTAGCAAAAAAGATGGAAATTTTGCGAAACATAGACCTTGGCGTTTCGTTTACTGAGGTCGCAAAAATGTACAAAGTGGGACGTTCAAATCCTGAACAGTACGAACCATATATGGATGATACAGGCAATAGCGGAACATGCGGATTCTTCAGATGGTGAAGAAGATGTTACCACTGTTAGTACTGTCAGGTCTGAGGAAGCCTTGGAAAGTATTAATATGACTATTCCGCTCTTCTCTCCACTACCTATTCGACACCTAGTAGCAGTAAAAGTGATCATGAATCACTCCGAATTCCATGATCAATACATGTAATGTTTATTCCTGCAAGGTGAGAGATAAGTCAGTACCAGCTTCTCAGCCCTGCTGGCCAATCCTGAAATGGATCGTCACACGCCGTTTGGTGCTTCGGTAGCGGCATCAGCTTCTCGTCGTGTTCATTAGGGGATTAGGCCACTTTGACATTTCATTATTTAAAGTGAGACTGTACGGCAGCGGGCGGCAGCGACGAAGCCGCAACCAATTTATGTGAAAAGCCAAGTTGCGGCAGCCACCGGCAACCGACACACCGACACGGCACGGCGATGGACACGTGCACAGGGCCGGACTGGAGAAAATCGACGTATACCTGATAAATAAGCACATGTTCGCTGGACAGTTACTCTACTATACAAGCTGCGCAGGCGCGTCATTGTCACTCAGTTTCGTATGATGGACACGTAAGCCCAGAATAGTCGATCGAAGCTCAGACTAGACAATGATATATCTTGTTGAGCCGAATCTTCAACTAACTAAGGTTAGTAGAACTGACACAGCCTCTTTAGGCAGGTTGTTCCGCATTCTCGCCATCCTATAAACAAACGGTCGTTCTATTTAATTTTCAGGTTAAACAGAGTCAGAACCAGGACTAGAAGCCTGACGACGGCAGAAGAGTCAATGCGAGCGACGTCCAGTAAGAGAGAGTAACGTCACCCTCCGTCCGTAAGAGTTTGAAATACCAGAAATAGGCTGTGAAGGACCAGCCGGACAGTTCTCCCCTGAAAACCTGGTATATATACAGAGTAGGCAGCAGGAGCACCACTTACGCGAGTTCTTGTCGACAACAAGGCCCGAAGGAAAAAGAAATACAGATAGCTAATGCTCAGAAAGCAGTGACAGGTGGTGCCTGGTTTGCAGTTACAGAACGACAAATGCATTGCTGGCGGTGGCTGGTATCCCGCTGGCTGAGGAGAGATGCGCACTGTATAAAAAGGATGACCAAGCTAGAGATAATGACAGAAAGAGGTGTCTTTGTTAGATGGGAGGAGTCATGGTGCATGGAAATAAATATCGTTTTTTATCACTAATTTTAACTTGTTTGTTGGTGGATGTTATTTGTTTGTTTTTTATATTTAAACATAATGATCCAAATTAACCATAACAAAATTGAGGTTTCTGCAATTTATCGTCCGCCATGTTCAGAACCCCACGAGTTTTTAAAGAATATCGATTTTTTTTTTCAAATTCAAAATAACGTTCATTTAAATCAACATATTTTCTTGATGTCAATATAAATATTTTGGACGATGATCCCATTGTCCTATATAAACCTACCTAGAAGGTCCATAAGTAGCACATGTATAGATCACTGCTTTGTGAAAGACCTACCCAACAAAATTACTTGTATACCAATAATCCTAGAAAACGATATTACTGACCAATTTTCCACTATTTTACTGATATCTTCAAATGAAAAACATTCTAACATCTTTACCGTTAATAACAACCAGGAAAATTACAAATCTTTTGTCGACAATTCAAAACTAATATTAAATGTCAAACAAGAATCCTGGGAACAATTATACTTTATAAATAATATAGACAGAGCAACGGGACTGTTCATAGAGAAGATAAAAAAAACTAATAGATATTAGTACCAATAAAGTAATAATTAGTCACTAAGAGTAAAGCAGAAATGACTGGATTACCAAAGGATTAATAACATCGGCAATAGAAAAAGAAAGACTGTTTAATGTAATGAAACTAACGCCAACTACAGAGAATATCGACTGCTACAACCAATATAAAGATAAATTTATAGAGCTTGCAAGGCAAACCAAACGAAAATATTACCTAAATAAATTGAATAATAACTTAAATGATCCTAAGCGGCTTTGGACAACTATTGATGAGATTACTGTGAAAACAAAATTTAAAGAGTGTGTCACTGAGGTAAATACAACATCGGGAACAGTATTAAAAAATACTCAACAAATATGCGATGAATTTGTACAATTTTCTACTGACAGGCGAAAATTTAGCAAGTAATATACAAGCAAATGTACCCAATACTCAACCTCCAAAAAGATCTTTGAACTCATTTATTTTGGATAGAGTCGAGCAATGTGAAGTATACACCACTGTTATGTCCTTAAAAAATCGAAAAAGTCCTGGGTTCGATGGTATTAAAAGCGAGCATTTGAAAATTATAGCCGAGCACATAACAGAACCACTCACTTACCTAATCAACAAATGCTTTGAATCTGGCATATATCCCTCAATTTTAAAAAAAGGTAATATAATACCGATACATAAATCAGGAACAAAAGCAGATGTTAACAACTATAGACCAATATCAATAATATCCAGTGTAGCAAAGGTTTTTGAAAAAGTTTTATCTACTAGAATGATTCGATACCTCACAAAATTCAAAATTGTAAGTGAAAATCAATATGGATTTACAGAAGGGAAGGCTACATCGGACACAATAACTAAAATTGTAAATCAAATACATCAAAATATTGATAACCGAATCCCTTCAATCTGCATTTTTGTTGATTTAAAGAAAGCTTTCGACACAGTTAATCACAAATTATTGTTAGAAGCATTGAAGAGAATTGGTTTCATTGGTTTCATTATTTGTCAAATCGCCCACAATCTGTGCAGATATCAGGATCGTTGTATATTAAGTGTGGTGTCCCACAAGAACTGTCTTAGGTCCGCTGTTATTCAATATATATTTAAATGATATTTTCCAAATTGATGATACTGCAATATTATATGAAGGAACTGACTGGTCTGATCTGAAAAATGTAATTGAAAATGATTTTATCAAAATTATTCGGTGGTTTTACAGTAGAAAATTAAGCATTGACTATTCTAAAACACATTTTTTACCATTTGGATCTTATGCTAGACATATGCCAAATTACACAAATTTCTCCTTCAACATTAATGATCAAAAAATGCAAATTAATAGAGTGCCCAATATAAAATACCTTTGAGTGGTCTTGGATCCTCACTTACGATGGGACATCCATGTCAATTATATTTTAAAGAAAGTTAGATTTATATCCTACAAAATTAAATACCTTGGGAATATATTGACAGAAAAATATCTTCGAATATTATACCATACACTGATTGAGCCTCATCTCACATATGGTATATTAGCATGGGGAGCTGCATGTTCCTCACATATCTATAATTTAGATGTTTTCCAAGAATGTATTCTAAAAATGATATTTAAAAAACCGAAACTTTACCCACTGACAAATTATACGCAGATGTTCGAATGTATGATATAAGACAGCTTTATTTCTTACACGTATCACTCACTAACATAAATTTGTAAACACCGACCAAATTAAACATAATCATTATACAAGGTACAAAATTCGTGGCACAGTAGTTCCTCAGCCGCATAAATCTATAATGCAGCGGTCATATCTCTATTTAGCGCCAAAATTTTATGAAATTATACCTAAAGACTTAAAAGATTTACGTTTCGGAAATTCTACATCTAGGACTGAAATTCATAAACTCATAAATACGAATATCAAGTAAATACATAATCTACTGTAGCTAATTTTTGTCCTTTTTTGTCATTTGCATTCTACAATTGCAACTTAAAATTATTGGTCCATGTACAGGCGATGCCTTCTATTGGGCCTGTTTTGATTTTATATTTATTTACTTATATTGTTAGTTATCGTTGTACATTGAGTGAATGAATATTATTATTATTATTATTTATTTACTTTGTACATATTTACTTTCCGTATTTTTTTTTTTTGACGAAACCTATAGATAATCATGCATGTCTGAAGGAAAATAAATTATTATTATTATTAATATACAATGGCCTGATATACCTTTACCAACAGTGGGAGATACTGGGAGAAAGTGAGCATTTTTTCGCATTTGGACAGCAACGGTACACATGATCCGTCCCTGGAGAAACTATCCTCTGAGAACGGAACTCATTTCGGTTAAAGCTCATACGTCACTCCGGCTAAATTAAATAAAGTCTGAGCGGCGGTTGCGGCGCGGTAGGGGTATGGAGGGGCGTTGTGAGGGGTCGGATAGCGGCGGCGGTCAGTCGGCGAGAGCATCAGCGAAGCAGCAGGCGCCCCTGTTTAGGACCCACCCCTTACAACCCCCTACTAGCCAAGCCATCGACAAATAAGTGTAAGTAATCAGCCCGCTACCAAGACTTGTCTCAAGGCGATGTGGATCGATTGCGACTAGTTGTATACCGAATGCCCAGAAGCTTAATGTCTTTAAATGGAATAGCCAAAGAGATCACTCATTGGGAACAAACAAGGTACATAGTAAACGGATTTTGTGGCCGATTTTAGCATAGCTATCCTTACAAGCAAACATTTCTCATACAAGGAATCACTACTAATGTGACTTGGAAATATGAAATTCTTACTTAATTTCTTAAGGGAGTTGGCAAGATTTCCTGAGCTACATCAGTATGTTAGTGCCAGAGACAGCATGATTTCTAACATTGAAGCTCAATCAAGTACCCCCTAGATAGGTCACACACAATTATGAAGTAAAATACTACGTTTGCAGAGGGCCAAGTTGTGTTGCGCTTGTTATGCACAGGCGATTTTTCCCGTAGTAAAATACCGGTCGTGATCGATAGATTTCCTCTTCATCCCACAATATCAATGTACAACGTAGGTATTCCACAGGAATCGGTTGCAACTCCAACAGTGTTTCTGTCATACATTCACTGCGCGATAGCTCTGATCCAAAGCTTCGTGGATCTTAGTACTTTACTTGCCAGAATTCCTCTCACACGTCGTCAACTCTGCAAATGAAGTGAAGAGAATAGAACTAGTAAAGGCATACTTACTGAAAGAGGGCCTGAAAATCTGGAAATAGAGGACTATGGTCTAGTTCAATGGCTTCAAGATATGCTAGTGTACCTTAACTAACAAGAAGTACCTAAACATACATCCTATCCAAAGAAATCGGACAGACGAGAGCTCTGGTTCCGAAAAAGTTTTCCGTGATTAAACCCCTTAATTACTAGCAGACGTACTGCATCTTGTATACATGGATTAGACGTGTATAGTACATCCCAAACTATCTACTGTATAGACGACTACAGAAAACTTTAGTTGGTGCTCGATAAATGCCTCACCACGGACAATTTACAAAGTTGCACAGCTTGGAAGAAACTTAGTAGATTTTCACCTAATACTCATACAAACAAGACAAAGAAAACGAACGAAATTACCAATGTTTGATAACCATCGCACCTGGTCTATACTGCAGCTATGGTTATTACACGTCGGCCCGCAAAACATATGAGGGAGTCTTCTCAGCCGCGTCCCTACGTCACTTGTCTGCGCTGCGATGGCATTTTTAATATGCCTATATTTGCCGTATAATATGTGTTCAATAACTTCACCGCGTCCTTATTCCCCCCAGTTATTTGTTAATGGCACCTAGCGCCATTCAGGACCGTAATCCATAAAATTGAAACATCACTTACAGAGCAGCTCGAGATAATGCCATACATGACGCACTTTTGATATTGCAAGGGCGTTGAATGCCCAGCGTTGAAGACGCACTTTTCCTTTTAAATGAATTTTGCTACTATTTTTACCTAACTGTATGTTGCAAATAAACATTATTATTCGTCATTGTCCGAGAGCGGTCCATGGGACTTTTGCTGTTGGTTGAAGTATTGTAGGCCAGTAAGTCTGTCAGGTCTGGTTGCTCAGATACCAGACAAAGCCAGGGAGAAAGAAGGGAAGAAGAAAGCAAGGAAGTGGGAAAAACAGAGAGGAGGAAGTGCCTCTGTTGGAGGGGCGCCTAAAAATTGTTAACTAGTATTCAGTTATTTTAAATGCAGCCAAAATTAATTGAGGAGTTCGCGTGCGTAGAAAAACTTTAGTAAAAACCACTAACTTGAATAACATTCACCACAAACTCAAAAACATCTCAGTTTCACATTCAAAATAAGCTCGACCTGATCATAGCGGCACTTGAAATAACACTTTTTGTAACCAAATTTGTAGTACTGTTAAGTTCTGTGACTGGTTAGCTGAGCTGATGAAAGGCAGTCTTAGTTGCTAGTATAATAAAGATTTTACTGTGTTATTTCTGTTCCCCAAGAAACATACATATATTAATTATATGCATACCTGAATGCTCTTATCAAAAATATGATTAAAAATACTTTGCATGAATATCGCGTACACACAAAGTGCTCGGTAATTGATGGCATATCAATCTATGGGTCAATGTATTATATTCGATTTCAACCACGATTAGGGCAGGGATTAAAGGCTTCTTTTCTTCTGTCCGATTAGCCAATTTTCGATGCAGTTTAACAAAAACGCTTTCTAATTGACCATTGCTGATCCGGATCATACATTTTGATTTGCGGATCAACTGCAAAAATATGTTTTTGTAGCTAAACTGGGCTATTTATAAAATTTCTTGATTTAATATGGGGAAGCATGCTTAGTGTTACTTGATTATACAAAGGCTTTTGATACTCTGAAAGCATCTATTCTTGTGAAAAAGCTTATATACTTTGGTTTTACGGATTCTGCAATTAATTTTGTATTATGTTATTTCACTGACAGGAGTCAGATGGTTGTGATTGGGTCAAGTATCTCGGAGGAGATACCAGTTAAACTAGGGTTCCATTCTGGGACCATCATTGTTCTCAATTCACATTTCTGACTTCCACGAGTACGTTGAACACTGCAGTATTCATCACCATGCTGACGACACTCAATCGTACTTTGGCTTTGATATTAAAGATTTAAATAATGCCGAACATTTGGTTCATAATGATTTAGTAAATTTATCTAACGTATCTTGTGCCCATAATCTCAAAATTAACCCGTTAAAATAATCCGCAGTTATATTTGGAATAAAAATAAAAAAAGTCAGCCAAAACCATTACTATCATAGGCATTCCCTATAAAAAATGAGTGTAAGAATTTAGGACTCTGGATTTATTCTGATTTCAGGTTTGAAAACCATGTTAGTCAACTGTGCCGAACATTATTCGGTGTCTTGAAGCAATTATTTCCTCATAGGAAAGTATGAATACTGGTCTCAAGCTGAAGTTGTGCGAAACCTTAATATGGTCAAGAATTCACTACTGTGACTGTATTTATGGGCCTGCACTAAGATCGATTGAGATAAGGAGACTTCAGGCTGCGTGTCTCAGATTTGCTTGTGGAGTGAGAAAATTTGAGACAGTGTCACATAAATATCGTGAGCTGGGGTTTCAAAAAATAGAAGAGCTACAAAAAATGCAAGTATTGACCTTGACCCATAAAGTAATCACGACACAAGCCCCTCCATATCTATCAACCAAATTCATCAGATACTCAGGTGTTAACCAACTGAACTCAAAAAATAAGCATATTGGTTATCCCGAGACATTCAACATCTCTATTTAAAAGGTCGTACATATATGGTGTCCGCAAAGTTGGGGTTTTCCTTTTCAGAAACAACTACCCTTGAAATAACAAAGGTAATGTGTAGTGAAACGAGGGCGACCACGTAAAAAAAAATAAAGGAAAAAGTACTCTCCCGTTGACGAGAAGGGCTAAGTACGTCTCTGCCCGAAATCATACCGCTCCAACAGAAAATGAAATCAGCTGAAGCGCTACCGAGCAGACGCAGAAACCACATTGATTGTCTTACACTTAATGGCACATCTTCTAACAAGGAAGGCAAAATGTTGCGTAATTACGTGCGGATTTTCTACTGACTAAACATGAGTGTTGCGAAAGTTATTCACCCCATTACGCGTGAACGTAGATTCGTCTGTCACCAATATGCACTTCAAAAAGTCCGGATTATTGTCATGTTGATGCAACAACCACTCACAAAACCGCACTCTTGCTGGAAAATCGTCAGGTTTAAGGGCTTGTACACGTTGGACGTGAAACGGATAGCCCCTCTTCACGCAGCGTTTGCCGCACTTTAGTTTTTGATACATGCACTTTTCTAGCCACGTCTCTAGAGATTCTCGTCTACGCGATTACCTCTACATGCGTGACCGTAACCATCGGTTGAAGGTTGCATACTGACCTGACACACTGACCCCGACCCAGTTCTGCCGTCGGGTTGAGACCTTGTACCAATCTGTGATGTCCCGGGTCGCGGCTACAGGACGGTATTCAGATATTTTTGATGTTGCAGAGCCCTTTATCTCGGCTCCCTTAAGACATTGGTGTATATGGTACTAAGAAAAATTGCTTATGTTTTCAAGATCTACACGTCGTGTAAAGGAAAACCCCAACTTTGCGGACACCCTGTATACTGCTATCAAGCTATACAACGCGTGCCTACCGAGTTCACTCACTACTCGTCACAGGTTTTTTTTAACTTTTTTGTTGTCATTGGGATTAGAAAACTTACACAAATATTTGTTGGGTTAAGTTGAAAAACGCTTTTTAGCGACACTTCGCCTTTTTATACTTTGTATAAATAAAGCCGGATTATTATTATTATTAGAGACCCTTCTTTCACAGATTGTATATTTTTTGCTAGTTTGTGAGAAAAAATCGACTATATTCATTAGATCCATGAATAAAAAGATTCCTTCTGCTTGGTCCATTATGATCCGGATTAAGAATCTTTATCGCCTGTTAGTAAAATCGGGCCTTTGTGAACTAAACCACTGATATGATAAGTTGATATTTTACAATTTTCATTGGGACACCTCGTATATTCCTGCCCATCTAAGGCAAACATTTGAGCGCATTTTTCCTTCCGAATCGCCAATACATGTTCCAGGCGTTGCCATTCCTCCAGCCAATAAGCTACAGCAGCGTCGATGATGTCATATTTGTTTTGACTTGTCAACCCGTGTGACAGGACAATAACGCGCAAAATGAATGACACCAGGATGTCATAGCAAGGAACGGAGGCAGGCGAAACGAGAAATGGCGGGCCGTGCAAAAGTAATCATAAAGTTTTATATATATCCAACGTCTACGGGCCCGCAATATTCGCGTTCGAATCAATTTCATTTCTTTAATATTATATATCGGGCTCGTGACCGACGGCGACCGCCAGGGACGTACCCTCAAGGGGTGCATTAGGGCGTCGTCTTCTAGTCAGGGAAAACTTTTTGAGCGGTTATATCCATCAATTCAGTTTCGAGGTAGTTAAAATGTCGCCAAAGTTTGTTTCATTAACACATGTGGTTTAAAATATTTCCCAACTAGGCATTACTTATGCCAGTGGGTGGAGGGAAGAGCATCGTGGGCAGTTCTCCACTGTGGAATAAGTCTTCTTATCCGTCTTTGATTATCACACTTACCTTGGAAAGTATTCCGTTTTACAACCCCGTCGTAATAAACGGTCGACTGGCTGATGTGAACAGGGCTTTTTCTCTTAAGGGGATGGTTTCCACCAATTTGCAACACTGCAACAAGATGCAACCAACTGGAGGAGAAAGGATAATGATTCTCTTCTGTTTCTATTGACGCTGACGTCAAAATCCCATAAAAAAATGGAAGACGTAGCACCCAAACCAAAAT